TAGTTCTTATCTGAAAGGCTGAGAAGTTAGTATCCTGAATACATGGGCAACTCTTTCTGAACCTGACTGCCAGCCCCCTGGTAGAGTCAGATTAGCACAAAATCAAGCATTTGTAAATAGGCCATTTTTATTTGCTGAGCCTGTTTTAAAATAACTTCATGTCCAAAATACAAGCATTTCTGCTTCTATAAGAAGGTGCCCCAAATCAGCTTTCCCAGATATGATTGATTTGGTTTTTGTTCCAGGTACATTTGGGGAGAAACAAAGAAATGCCCAGGCATAGATCTCAGACAGATGCATCTGGTTGCCCTTTTTTAAGAGCCACTTATTTGGTTTGCAGATTTATGTTAACTCCTAGCAACTGCAAAATGTTGCCATCATTAGGCCTCAATTTAAATGTGACCACTATTAGGTGGGCATGGTCATTAAACTGTTCCTACGGTATTCTATTTCTTTTCTGTAATCTGAGATCAGCACAACCTCTGCAGTTGTCAGGTATAATAAGAATTGAAATGCAGGTCAGATTTATGCTTTGGGGGTGTGTGTGAAAACTTGGCCAATTAAGGCCATCAAAGATTTAGCCCCTTGCAATTAATATAACAATAAGGGGGGTTGGGTGGGGGGAGCAGTAGCACTTTGTGTTACTTGGAGTCTAGAGCCAGACAGACAATGGCTTATTTCCAAGATAACATGATTGCATGTTTTGATGACTTCTTTCCCTCCATTGGCATATCTACTTTTTTACAGGTATGTAAATCTATAACTCCCTCTGTCTTTGGGTTCTAGTGACATCCATTTCTCCAAGGCAGAAGAATTCAAATGAAGCCCTGGTTTTCATGGAAGAAAAAGCTGTTCTTAGGCATAGGGGTCACTCGTCAGTTGAGTTTGTTCACATTGTCAGTGTTCCAGTCCCAACACATTGGCGAGACAGACAGAACGAAATCAGTTAGAAAGTAATGAACAGGGAGGATAAGTGAAGCTGGTTCTAAGAAAGTTCAGGTATTGATTGGTGCTGAGACCAGGAAAAAACTCCAGTCAGTTCAGAGTTAAATTAGCTTTAAAAGTTCCTGATTGAAGAGAAAATCAGCAATAGGAAGAATGGCTGAGCTGTGAAGAGGGAACTCTCTAGTTCAGAAAACTGCATAACTTTCTTCACTATGTTTTTAAAGGAAGCTACATTTCCAGAACACAAGCTCTTCTCTCAAATTCCCTTTCGCTGGCTGAGTTGGGTGTTCTCTACGGACGGGGGAATATTTGCAAGTTCTTTGTGTTGGGGGCCTCTTGAAACCTTTTGCTGCAGTTCACAAAACTAGACGAAGTTCACAAATGTATTTCCCCTAATTTAAACCCAGGATTTCTTCAGGGCTTTATTGCAAGGTTGATTCAGTTTTTGAACAACGTGTATCTGTAGGTAAGGGAAAGCTCTGTATCAGGTCCTGAAGAACTCTCTGGAAGCCAGATAGCTCTGTCCATGGTGCTCGTACTACATTTATTCATTCAGAAGGTTCTTGCTCTGTCTCTGCTTTTTTTTCAGCGTCTTTGTCACTCACTCTCCCCAATCTCGGCTCCATTTTCCATCCTACCTTGTCATTGGATGTTTCTCCTGCTGTCTGCTTCCCTTTTCACAGTCTTTCCTCGGTGGAGCGTAAACACAATCACCTTCTTGTCTGCGTCCAACTTTTGCCCTCCATGTTCATGTGAGTTTGGTATTAGGCCAAATTAATTCATCCATATCTACTTCTGTCCACTATTGTTTGATGATCTAATAATTCGATACAGATCCTGTACTTGAAACCCAAGAGACTGACTGACTGCTTCTGCAGTCCCACCATTGCACTGACGTAGGGCAGATTTAGATGTGCTGGGAATCTGCGTGGGGCATTGGACATAAATTAATGGAGATATCCCATCTCCTAGAACTGGATTGGTGGATTGAAGTGTCAGCTGACTCATTAGTTCATTTGAACGATTCAGCATTTTTTGCCCAGTTCTGGGCAGATGAGATGGCCAGTAGCTACCCGTATGCAAGACAGTGTTCAAGTACCTTGAGAGTTGCCTGTGTTTGTTATTGTCTAATAAACTATAATATACCCAGAAAATATTGGCAAGGGCGACAAAAGTCAGGCCACAGAAAAGCTTAAATTATGTGTCCTGCACCATCATCTGCCCTTTTGTTCTTAAATACGGTCCATTAATTAAGGCCTGCAAGACGAAGAGATTTTGGGGGCTGGGATAGAAAAAGGAAGAGCTGTTCCCCTCTTTGGGTAACGGTAACAAATACATGTTTGCCACAGGCATGAGGGCTGGTGTGGGAAGATTTCTTCTGTATGTCTGCGAATGGCTCATGTCCTGTGGCATGGCAGGGGCTAAGGTAGCTCTGTCTAGGTGTGGTAAAGATGATACATTGCATGTTAATGCTGCCTGCGGGCGTCAGGGCTGATGCAGTCTCTTCTTGCCCCCTCTCCGTGTGTCTTTCAAAATCAGCCATTATGGCAAAGGCAGGGTGTTGCATCAGAATGACAGTGATTTTTCACAAACACAGTTTGCTTTTTTCCCCATGTCAGTTCCCAGATATGCCATTGGGACGTAACAATTTGGTTGCAGCTGAGAACTCTCTATTTTGGGATCTGTTCAGGCCAATGAGAGGTCTCATCCTGTTTTCCACTACCCAGGAGCAGTAGCCAACATCACTGTGTTTTGATCTTCTATAAAATGGGCTTCCACCCCTGTCCACACCTCTCAAGCCACACTTTTCTGCATTAATTCCTTCATGCCTGTAGCTCTAGGGCTCCCACTGCTAGGTATTAATGTCTCTGCATTAGCCCTTTGTGTTGGAAAATTCTGGCTCCCAGTGCAATTTAAAGGTATAGGCATACAGGGAAACCGTCCTGGGTCACCAAAAACGGCCCTCCAGAACTGGTTTAGGTGGTTAGGTAGAAATGGAAGATATATTCTCCCACCCGCAAACAGGATTACAGAGCACACCTGACCCTCACCAGCATTTCTGTGAGATTTGGGTACATATGAATAGTACTCAATGCGGGGAGATTAGAACTTGAAATACATAGCGAAACAGCTGGAATGGTGACCTGGATATTCATTCTGTAGGGTAGCAAAGGGTAAAAGCTAATTAACTGCTAGGGGCTGGTTCTAATTATAAAGACGTTTTGAGTCTAAATCTGCCATGAGATGTATGCATGAAACTAAGAGCAGGGCTGTGGCTTGCATTTGTCTCAGCGGTATCAGAAGGAGAATGATGGGGGTTATGATAGTTGGGTTTTTCTCAACATTCTTGTAATTTTATCAGTGAAATGATAACGCTTGCAGTATCAGAAATCTGAACTCAAGAAATCAAGCCTGGCTGAGGTTCTGCAGAATGGAAGTTAAATTATTTAAACATATTTCCAAGCATGCCAATTTACAATTTACTCCTTAATTACCTGAGTGATGTTTTACATCAGATTGTTTTTCCCAAATGTAATGAACGCCTTCGTGACTCAGTCTGAACTGCCACACGGTTACTTATTTTAAGTTTATTATCATACTATAATTTTTTGTCATATTTTGTTTTTTCTTGGTACTGGCTTTGATTTATTGAAATCACATAAAATCTAGGAGAAATAGTGACTGTCGAGCATAGGAATTGCTGATTGTATTGTCAGCTAATGACAGATGCCAAGGAGGTGAATGCTTACAGAGGGATCTAAGCTCTTAAAACGTCTCGTAGTAGTAATAATAATGATACCTGGCTGTTATATAATGCTTTTCAGTGTCCCTCTCAAAGCATTTTACAAAGGATGTCAATATCAGTGCCCCCATTTTACAGATGGAGAAACTGAGGCACAGAGAGGGGGAATGTTACTGGACCTTATACATAATAATGTCAGTAGTTGTAACAGTGCTACTAGACCATACACATGTACATGAAGGGAAGGAGAGGTTCTTCAAAGTGGGTGTTATATAAAGGTTTTGAGTTCCAAAGGTGAAGTGCGGGTTTAGAGAAGTTTAAAACCAGAACACTAGCCTGGACTGGGGACTTTGGCGCTACTACAGGACCAACAGTAAAAAAACAATAATTAACCATTAGATTACAGGGATTTCGGTGCTACGCAGTTGGTGAAAGATAACTGGAAGCCATTATGCAAATCATACCCCAGTAGCCAATCAGAGTGAAGAGAACTGCATAAATAAGAAATAAACATAGTTGTTGGTCAGTTTGGCACAGCAAACTGTGCTCTGATTGGCTGAGACCATTCCAATTCTGTATAAAGGGGCTTAAAGTAGGGTTTGGTCCTACCCATCTTGTTTTTGGCCTTGAGGTAAAGTCAGACATTTGCGACATATGCTCATTTCTCCGGCCACAGCCTATGGATGTCAGAACTACAGGACTCTGGAGACCTCGCTGCCGTAGAAGCTGGGACTGTTGAAAGCCCTTGCTTACCTCACCTCTCTTTGGGCCTGATCCAAGCCCATTGAAATCAGGGAGAGGGTTTCCATTGATTTCCGTGGGCTTGAATGGAAATGAAGCGAGCTAGCATTGGAGTAAATATTTGTACCAATGTTCCTTCTTTCCTGCGTTTCCTCGGGTCCCGTGGACGAGTCTCTCTGGAGTGTTCCCATTAAAGGCACAGCTCTTAATCTCTGTCTGCAGCTCTGCTTTGTGTTATTAATTTCTGCGCCTGTAAGAAGGCAAGTAAATGACTAGATGGTTGTGTCTCGGACCCGCACGACAAATTATGAATCAGATTCTTGTCTCATATATATGCATATCGCCTCTCCTGTGGACTTCAGCGGGAGTGGCACGCGTGCATCGGAGCCCTGAGAATTGACCCTGAATTGAGGATTGACTGGCAAATTAGCCCTTGACTAAATCACAGCCGATGAATTTAAAGTGGAAGTGTCTCGATACAGATTTTCTTTGTTTGAGTCACACGTTTAGGTAACTTAAGCCTTGCTTAATAAAAGAAATAATTCAGAGCTACGTCTGTTTCTCTCCTCAGGTATTTAGTCTTCCTGCAGATCAAAAGAGATCTCTACCATGGCCGCCTTCTCTGCAAGACATCGGATGCTGCATTGCTAGCTGCCTATATCCTTCAAGGTAATGCTTTGTGACAAGATAAATTTGCTTTTCATGCTAAGTACCGATTACATTATTTCACTTACAATAGATCACTGCACCTTGAATACAAATGTCATCTAACCAATGCAGGGCTCATACTTCACGATTGTACTTGTGCCAGTACCACGTTGGTCTATAATAGAATTAGAATTGATAGTGTGATCTAAACTGTACCAGAAGCAACAACTCTGCCATCTATTCCCTCAAAGTTATTCCACCTGGATTCAGGTCAGTTGTGTCTGAATAAATGGCCCTTTGATCAACATTATGTGTCTAGTATTTTCCACTTGCTTCCATCTGAGGATCTCAAAGCACTTTACAAAATCACAATCTCCCTGTCAGGCAGGTGGGTTTATCCCCATTTAACAGATGGGAAACTGGTAGAGAGAGAGGAGGCACCATGCATTAAGTGACACCGATTCAGTGATAGAGCGAAAAGGGCATCTAGAACTCCTGATTTCCAGGTCAGTGTGCTGCAGCTACTAATCCACACTTCCTGTGTAACTAGGATACAGGGATTTCCAGAGCTGAAGTGATGCTCTCCGATAGGTAGGTAAGGCTTGTGGCCGCATGGGACTCAGTACTGATTTCAGAGAAACCTCCTAGGTAATTTGAGATACTTGTCGGATAGAAAACACTCTCATGTGTTGAGACTTACTACAGAAGTTTTGCCACATCCTCCAACATACCAGACCTTGGTTTCCAGACATGCATCAGTGCCGTAGTTGTGCTCCTAGGCACTGGTAGATGCAATAGTACGTGATAACTGGTGCTTTCGAGAGTGTCGCTGTCATGCTGTTATTACCTTCTGATTTGGAATCTCAACGTTAAATCGAAGTTGCATCTGAAGAAGTGAGGTTCTTACCCACAACAGCTTATGCTCCCAATACTTCTGTTAGTCTTAAAGGTGCCACAGGACCCTCTGTTGCTTTTTAAAGTTAAATCGGTTGGTCCTATCCTGATTTACCCTCCTCAGCGTTACTTTCTCCTTCCTGTCTTCCATCAGCCAGCCCAGCACTAGACAGCAAGTGAGTGTGGCCAGTTTTGGCAGGATGATACCTAGTTATCAGTGTAAAGACAGAGAAGGAAGCTTGGTTATGTTTATATTTTTCAGTATTGCTTGAAACTGCAGTTATGGTGACTGGCTCTGTAAATCCCATCTCTTGAAGTCTTCAGATTAGGACCGGATGCCTTACTGAACGGTTTGCTTTAGTCAAACACAAGTTTCTGGGCTCAATACGGGAGTAACTGGATGAAATTCTGTGGCCTGTGTTATACAGGAGGTCCAACTAGTTGAAGGAATAGTCCCTCGTGGCCTTAAAATAGATCCATCTAAATCCAACAGACAGAGAAGCTAGATAAGAAATAGACTCATTTACTGAAAGTTGAGAATCACATTTGGTTTTTTTTCCCTTGTCTGAATGAAGAAAGTCAGAATTCCTGGGTAAACGCTATTAGCTGTCGAAGTGCCTCTCTTTACAAACCTCAGAGAAGGGTGGATTCCAAAGGAAAGACCTGGTTTATGGAGCTTTACATTTTAACTAAGGAAAAATGAAATAATTGTTTTGTGCTTCAGCTAACAACATTAATCTCTGCACTGTTACCATCTCCCGGTCTCTCAGATATGTACACACCAGACAAATCAGCATGGATAGTCCTAAAGAACCTCGCAACAAAATACTGCTCTTTCCACAGGAGTGACTGCATGTCCTTCCAGCGTGTGGCTTTAAAGAGGGACCCTACTACAACAAACTAGGGTGATCAGATGTCCCGATTTCATAGGGACAGTCCCGATTTTTGCATCTTATATAGGCTCCTATTACCCCACCCCCATCCCAATTTTTCACACTTGCTGTCTGGTCACCCTACAACAAACACAGGTTTGTTAGTTGGTGGCACAAATGAACATGTCCTTGTGCAAATTCATTACTTTACATCAAGCTCATCAGCCAAGAAACAACTTGTCAGCAAGTCGCAGACAGGACCAGGTTGGTTGCACAGCTGGGCTGGGGGAAAACACCTGGAAACCTCCTGCTTATTTTACCGTTCCTGATCTTGCCAGTGCCCCTGCTACACAGAACACTGGATATCCCCAGCCCAAGACATGGAAAGGCCAGAAGAGGCCAACGCCCCTTCAGTTTGTGGAGTCCTCTAAAGGATTGAACAGCTGAAGGTCTGGGTTGAAAATCTGTAGACATTCTGATAGCACAGACTAGTATTAAGTTTGACTGACACTTCTCATAAGAAGACCCTGTTTTCAGTTGCTTATAACTTTGCCAAACTTTAACTGTTTGGGCTGAAATTTTCCATTCTGAGTGTCTCCCTCAGACTGACTTTGTTGTGGCTGAAATAAAAAAAAAATCATCTGTTTCTGAGAATGAGACTAGGGCAAAATACCTTGTTTTCTCCGGGTTAAAAAATTCTAGCACTCCAGAGCTTTGGACTGAGACTTTGGCGGCAGGGTGGCGTTTGTGTCTGGGGTGTGCTGGTCGCCATTCCCATGAAATCTGTTCAGATTTGTCCAAGCCTTTGAAAAAGGGGTCCCTATGGGAAAAATACCATGTGACGGTGTCATTACAGACTCTGTCATAATGCATGTGCATAAGAAAGCTGATTTAAGGTGACCTGGGCCACCTTACATTTGGCATTTCCTAACTTTTGAGTGCTTGACCTTGCAACTCATAGTTACGTGGGGCTAATCATGTTCTTTTTAATGTAGTTTGTGTGCGTCATCACTGACCTAGAGCCAGGGATGTCCAGAATGACAAGTTACAGCTCCAAAGCATGAACAAGATATTTCATAGCAGACCGGATATTTTTTCTACAGTCACACATGTGTTTACAGTTCAATATATTTGAATTTTTCAAAGGCACTAATCATTAGTTTTGATGCCTCCCCTGTAAAATGCTAAAGGGGGAAATACACCTGTACTTCCCCCCTTAGCATTTTACAGGGGAAGCATGCACATAACAGAACATCTGCATTTCACTAGGAGCCGCAGACCAAAGGAAATGGAATGGGAGAGAGCGAGAGGTCCTTTCCAGCTGAGCTGTGAGATGCTGCAGATGCAGGACTTTTGTGTAGCCTGGAAAGCAGATGTGCAGCGAAGTCGCATGAGACACAGGGATGAAATACTGTACTGCCTTGTTCAGCCAAGAGAGAACTATTTTTTCGTCTCTTTTCTTTTCCCCTTTACTGCAGCTTAAGTCCAATTTGGATGTAATTACTGGCTGCTGCCCAGAGGATGGTGAAGGTGGAGACGGGGCAGCTGCCTGGTCAGCCAGTCTCAAGGGAAAATCAGCCCGTTTCTTTCAGACGTATGAAAGGAGCAGAGCTGATTTCTAATCAGCTGATCAGACAGTGTATTGTCTCGGCTTCATGAGCAGCTCCAGTCTGGCAGATATATGTTGCACTGCTCCTCGTCATGCTAATTGTTCTGGGGAGATTATGAAACATGCTCGAAGGTGTGATGGAGCTAGAGGAACCGGCTCGGAGCTATTCACCTGCATAATCCTCCATGTTTCTGATGGGACCGTGGGGTCTAGAGGAGTTTTGCTTTGCTGAGGCTCCCACAGACATTCTTGTTGGGGCTGTGTGCTTGGCTCAGTGTCACTCTTTAGATTTTGGGTTGGGAAGAGCCTCCCAATCTCAAAGCAAACCTCGGGGTGGGGGAATAGCCACGTCTCGCCTGATCTCATGCTGGGGCCGTTGGAAGCCATGAATTGCACATGATTGGAGCAGGATTCCAAGCCCTGGTTCTCTTGGCAGGGGCTTGAGTTTGCTCTACAGAGTCATGAACCTGGCCTGAACGTGAAGACTCTAAGTAGACATGGAACCCGGGGAGTGTCGTATGATGTCCTTGTATTGAAGCAAACATTGCACGTGCCTGGGTGTTTAACGATTTGGAATGGGGTATTTTCCCTGATTGCTGGGCATTTCCTGGATTCAGGGGGGGTATGTTTTCTGTGTGCCAATTGAAGCCACCAGCGTGGGTGGGTGGGGCCTGGGGTCTATCTGGGTGAGCCATTGGAGAGGGGAAGGACATGACAGGGAGAAGCTCAACGTAAGCTGTCTTCACCCACCCCCATCCTGCAGAGGACACCTCCCCATAGATTAAAGTGGTCCCTCGGGGATGCCACAGCTGGTAGTGTAGCTGCAGTGGAATCATGTCACTGGAGTTGGTGACCTGAGCCCTACCCCTGCAAGGCACTGAACATCCTCCATTCTCATCGGCACCTGGGGGTTTGAAGGTACCCATCGCTTTGGAGGATCGGCCCCTGGAACGGAACTGCTCTGTATCCCATTGCCAGCCCCCTCAGCTAGTTAGCCCCTCGCTATCAACTTCATTTGGAGAAGAAACAGTTTTCTGTTTCCAACAAAACCAACTGCCATGAAAACCCACAAACCCCCTTTCTGGGAAGATGCCCTTTGACTTTCAATATTAAACCATTTTGCTCTTTTAATTGCAGTTACTTCTAGAAATGATTTCACTCCAAATGATGAAAACCTTGTTATTTCATTATATAGCCTTTCTTTCTTTTACTAGCCGAGATTGGGGACTACGACCCTGGGAAGCACCCAGAAGGCTACAGCTCCAAGTTCCAATTTTTCCCCAAACATTCGGAAAAGCTGGAAAGGAAAATTGCAGAGATTCACAAAACAGAACTGAGGTAACATTAACTTTGGGATTTAACGTACTGTACCATTTAAAAGGGGTCATGTATGTTGATTAACTATAGACTTATTGTATTTTGTTTACTACTGTTCCTATTTAGGGTTTTGCACATAACAGTTATGTGTAATGGGATGAGTAGCTTTATTATAAATAAATAAAGATATCCCATCTCCTAGAACTGGAAGGGACCTTGAAAGGTCATCCAGTCCAGCCCCCTGCCTTCACTAGCAGGACCAAGTACTGATTTTGCCCCAGATCCCTAAGTGGCCCCCTCAAGCATTGAACTCACAACCCTGAGTTTAGCAGCCCAATGCTCAAACCACCGAGCTATCCCTCCTCCCCAATACACTAAATCAGAAAAAAGAGTTTCTTTTGGTAACATGGTTCACATTTATTAAGAGGGAAAATAATGGAGATGTTCTTAAAAATTAAGGTCAATTTATTAAGCACTATTAGAGGCATTACAACAAAAATAGAAATATTCTGGAAACAGGGCATGGCATCTAATACCAAACCTCTACTTGCTGAAATAGGAACATAATAAAACTGCCTAAAAAAATTACCAAAAGTGCTTTAAAATGTAGATAATCAAAGAAGAATAAAAAACCTGAAATCTTTTTTTATTCATCTTCTCCACTGAACATCCGTCCGATGAGATTTCAGACTGAGGTCTCGACCGTTTGTAGAATGAAAGAAAGGGCCTGACGTGGTCTCAGTGGAGTGCTGGGAATATCGTTTCCCAACAAAGGAATGTCGTTAGTTTGTAACAGAAATGTCTGGCTCAGGCAGTTTGTATCAATGGATTCCTAATATCTCCTCACGCGCCGGGGTCCAGCTCAGGTGGAGTCTCTGACTTTTATGTATTTATTTTGCTGAGTCTTGAACTCGCCCCAGTTTAAGGGTTGATTAAAGATCCCATGGCTTTTTCTTATCGAGCAGGGATGGTAACTATATTTCATCCTGGATAAATATAGTCTGCCTTCCTAAATTCCCCCTGCAGTTTCAGCTGTCTGCTCTATTATTCACATCCTATTTTGGGATGAGGTGCTGTATAAAAGTAAGATATCCTCCTATTATGATATTCCCATTATACCAGCTGTATCTTTGTTTACGACATATGACAAGCCACAGTCTACTACACTTCAAGTCCATTCTCAAAACTGTGTGAAGGTGACCCAGGCAATAAGGTTTGCAAGGTTGCCGGCAAGATAAGACTCCAGAATGGGCATCCTGGAAACCAGAGCTAGTAAAGCTGTTCCTGTGGTGCTGGGGGAAGGAGTAATGCGCTGTCCGTGGTCCGGAGATAATTTATTGAGCTTGCTTTTACCAGCTCTCGCACTTCCTAAGAGGGAGTTCGGTATTTGTTTTTAACCTCAGACACATGTATCGATGTTACGTCATTTGATGTGACATCATAAAAGGGACCTGAAAAACTGATATGAAATGGGCTGTTTTCAGTATATAATGCTCCGCAACCAAGTGAACTGCTTATCGCAGCCTGGGCTGATTGTATTTAATTAAACCTTACCTTGTGCAGAGGCTCCTTTATTCTGTTCCTTCTGAGTGTTGGGAGCCTGTCTTCTGTACTGCTGAAGTCCAGCTTCCAGAACGGGAAGGACAGGCTTGAGAGCCGAGTCCTTTTACACGATCCTGTTTTAGATTCAATATGCTGGCTGAATGAAGTCAAAGGAATCTGCTTGATTTGATGCCCAGTATTGCTAATGGAAACAGTGAACATAATGACTGGTCCTGATGTTCACACCTTTCCCTGATTTTCTTTCCTCCAGTGGTCAGACACCAGCTACTTCAGAGTTAAATTTTTTAAGAAAAGCCCAGACCCTGGAGACATACGGAGTTGACCCACACCCATGCAAGGTAAAGCTCATCTCTAAAAGCTTTTTTCTTCTGTTAGATTTTCAGCCTTGCAGATGACTAGCAAATGACAAGTTGCAAAGGTTAAATTGATTGGTTCCAAGTACAGCAATTTATCCTTGCCATCATAGCCTGACATGGTATTTGCAGGGCCATGCGATAGTGACATGTTCTGTATATGGCATGCAGGCCCTCTTCAAGGGATAGGCCTGATTAGCGGCCCCTTTGATAGCTTAGATTAAAAATGGCATAAAGGTTTGGTTCTGGGTGCTGCTGAGAAATGTAGCCACCAGAGTATTTAAGGAGACTACAGAAGAACCTCAGAGTTACGAACACCTCGGGAATGGAGGTTGCTCGTAACTCTGAAATGTTCGTAACTCTGAACAAAACATTATGGTTGTAGTTTACAACCGAACGCTGCCTTAATACAGCTTTGAAACTTTACTATGCAGAAGAAAAATGCTGCTTTTAACCATGTTAATTTAAATGAAACAAGCACAAAAACAGTTTCCTTACCTTGTCAAATATTTTTTTAACTTTCCCTTTATTTTTGTAGCAGTTTACATTTAACACAGCACTGTGCTGTATTTGCCTTTTTTGGGGGGTCTCTGCTGTTGTCTGATTGTGCACTTCCGGTTCCAACTGAGGTGTGTGACTGACTGGTCAGTTCGTAACTCCAGTGTTCTACTGCATAGGAAAGTCAGTTTAAATGAAGACACGTGAAAGGACAATGTTTAATCATCCTTTGCAGCAACATTTATTTTTGAGGAAATGACAAAATGTGAGAGAGATCCATAGGTATTGATCCGCCACAGATGGGCTCAATTCCCAGCGCTCCCTGGCCCATAATTTAGTTTTTTTTACAAAATGATTTTTATTGACTTTGGTATCATGGTCATTTCATTGAGCTGTGATGTGTCCCATAGAATTCCATTGCACGTTTATGAATGTGTGACAGCGTAAAGCAGACAGCGAATAAGTGCGTGACGTCAGTGTCTTTACCCTATGGGGGTCTCCCAGTTATTTAAAGTGAATTTATACAGCATAAATGCCTGACAGTGCAAGTAAAAGTGCTAATGTTTGGGCTGGGTTACCTACCCCATTCACTGGCATTGTCTTGCCCTGTGTTTTGGATTTATGAAGCAGTTAGCACTTACTACAGAGAGAGGCCAATGCAGAGTTGGGACAAATGAATTACTTTGTCAGCTCAATTTTCTTGGTTTGCCAAACGACTGTCACCTTGGGCCGTGTTAACCTAGTAGCCCTTGTCTTTCCTGGCTCAGCATTGGCATTCCCCACAGCAGAGCTGTACTTTACATGTTCCTCGCCTTTAGGCTCCCTTATGCTTGTCCCTTTCAGAAACGCTTATTCCCCACATCTGCTTAAAACTAGCCCGTCCCCAAAGAGTAATTCTCTAGCTGTCGCCTTGCTCCGGAGGTGGATATTCAGGGTGTCACTAGTTCCAAACATTGCTGAGAATACCAGGGCCACTGGTTAGGGCACTAGCCTGGGACGTGGGAGCTTCAATTCCCTGCTCTGCCACAGACTTCATGTGTGACCCTGGGCAAGTCACTTAGCCTCTCTGTGCCTCGGTTCCCCCTCTGTGAATTGGGCTAGGGATAACAGCACTGCCTTTTTCGCAGGGGTGCTGTGAGGGTAAATACATTGAAGCTTGTGAGTTGCTCAGATACTGTGGTACCGGGGACCATGTAAGTACCGAGAGTAGGCAGATAGTAAGACAGCTGGAGGAGTTTCTTGAATACTCTGCTCTGTTTGACTGTGGGGCGCCTCTGCCCACCATGGTGGTGTTGAACTCCATGGATAGGATCAACCAAGTTCAACACTTGTTAAGCCCCAAACTGTGGTGGACTCCCCCTTCAAAGGCCTTCTTTACATTAGCCTTTTGTCCTTCGATTTTCCCTCTGTTGCTATCAGCTGCTCAGCTTCTCGGTGGGAGCATCCCTAAAAGTGCTAGTTTCTGCCATTGGTTGGGCTGAACAGCTGAGAGCAGCATGAAGGTGCCACCTGCGTTTTGGACACTATTCCAACTTGCCCTCTGAAAGCAGGCCTACCCCGCAACCTGATACGTAAAACTCCAGCCGCTGCCGACACCTCGTCTGCCTCAGCGAGATGGAGATGAAGCAACATTAGCAATAGTGGGAAATCTTAAGGACCATTTCCTAGCTGAGAAAAAAAAATCTTATTTTTATCTTATTAATGGAGATGCCCATCTCCTAGAACTGGAAGGGACCTTGAAAGGTCATGGAGTCCAGCCCCCTGCCTTCACTAGCAGGACCAAGTACTGATTTTGTCCCAGATCCCCAAGTGGCCCCCTCAAGGATTGAACTCACAACCCTGGGTTTAGCAGGCCAATGCGCAAACCACTGAGCCATCCCTCCCCCCAAAGCCAAAGTGAGTTCAACCACACTTTGTTAAAACAGGTTTAAACTTATTTGATCCCATTCAGCATGCCCGGGGAACCACAGAGTTCAACACGCATTGAGGGGTCAGGGGAGCTGACTCTGACATAAGCAACATCAACAACAGTCAGAAAGTCTGCAAGCTGTCAGTCACTCTGCACCCTGGTGTCAGTCAGTCTGTGGCCAGGATGTTTTGTTGGCCTGTAGGGTGCTGGATGCCTACAGAAGGCTAGTTAACCGTCACACTTGCCAACATCCAGCAGAGATAGTGAGACGCTGCACTCTGGTGCTATCTCAAATTCTAATCAGGAGCCGTGACTATGTGGCTGTAGCCAGAGTGGAAAAAACATTGAAGTCAATTACACTGATACCCTGATGCTGAATACGTGAGAGTCACTAAGAGACCATATTACAATGTGCCACCAGCACATAAGAAGAGCAGAGACATTAAGAGAGTTGCTCTGACATTTTCTTATTAGCTAAATAGAGTTCACTTGGGTAATTTTCTGGCCAGCATCCACATTAATGTTCCTACTAGAAGAGATGGAAGCAGCGAGAGAGATGCAGTGTAATAAATAAAAATGATCTCTCTTATCGTCGAGAGCATTACCAGGCTGGTAGAATCTGGGGCATGCTGCCCCCCCCTCCCCGGGAAAAATGAGAAAAGGGGAATCATACTGATATAATTAAATAAAATCGGACTAGTCTCTGCACTGATGCCCAGTCTGATCAGCTACCTAATTTAAGGAGGAGGAGATGCCATCATCATCTACTAGTGATCAGACTCCGATCAGCAGAATCCAGAGGTATTCTCCTTCTGCACATTCAGCTCTTGTTCCCTAGAGAGGAAAAGCTGATTAACTGATGGTGTGTCATTCCCGGTTCCAGAAGAGCTAACGCTGGTTCACTTAGAAGCAGGAAGGGTTGTTTTTTTCCTGGGCTAACAACCACCTCCAGTGAGTCACATTTGAGAGACTCAGTTATGCAGGTGCTTGATACAGGAATAAACACATGAAGTATGGAGATGGTTTGATTTCAGTGGAGTTCTATTGGAACCCTGCCTTCCCAGACAGGTTTTCAGACCTCCCTGATTTTCTGCCAGCATGCTGGCTGGCTTCTGGGCAGCCCACGTGCCAAAGTGCCCCAGAGATAACCCCAGGGCTCCGAGGGTCCATGGCTCTGGGGCAGCCAGGGCTCCATCCCCTTCACAAGGAATCCTGAAATGTTTAGTTTTTCGTTCCAAATTGGAATGGAACAAAATTCTGGAGTATCGAACCCCTCCCTGAAATGGAATGCCCCCTCTCCGCACAGCTTGGCTTTTAAGTCAGTGACTTTACTGTCCATGAAGTAATTTGGAGATTTGACCTAAGGATTAAATCCAGTTTGGCACAGAGCTGAGGCATCCTGCAGAGACTGTCTCTGTGGTATCCAGGGGCACCTCTTGATGGAGTCTCCTTGATATTCAAACATTGGTCACTGTCCTGCCCCCAGTGAGGTCATTGTCAGGACTGCTGTACACTTCAGAGGGAGCAGAATCAGGCCCATTAACGTACACAATCTGCACTTCTACAAACTGGCAGTTTTCCGGCCTCTTGGTCTCTCAAACTCCACTTGATTAAGTTGTCCAGTGTCTGGTGATAGTGACTATAGAGAATTCACTGAAAGAGCCTCACAGTTACTTTCCCCTTTCTCCCTTCTTCCCACTTAGGGTGACCAGATGTCCTGATTTTATAGGGACAGTCCCGATTTTGGGGTCTTTTTCTTATATAGGCTCCTATTACCCCCCACCCCCTGTCCCGATTTTTCTCACTTGCTATCTGGTCACCCTATTCCCACTTCATGGCCATCACATTTAGGGTATGTCTGCCCGACAGCTGGGAGGTGGCATTCCTGGATTGGGTAGATGTACGCACAACGGCTCAGCTCGAGTGAGTGCACGAAAAATGGCAGCGTGGCCACAGGTGCATGGGCGGCAGGGGATTGCACTCGGGCAGCCAGCCCGAGCCACTGCCCGGGCTGTTGTGGCCACGGTGCTGTTTTGAAGTTCTAGCTCGAGCAGAGATGTTGTGTGTACCGTTGCCTGAGCTGGGACTCTCTCCCCCAGCTGCTGTGTAGATGGACCCTTCAACTCAGGGCTCTCTGGTCATATCCAGACACTGCCGTCTGCACGGGTCTGACGCTTCTGGCTAGTGTTAACTAGAGACACGAATTTTGAATCCATCCCATATTTAGGCCTGATCTACATGAGAAAATTAGGTCAGTTTCACTACATTGCTCAGGGGTGTGGAAAATCCACTCCCTCCTCTCCCCTCTCCTCCCCCCACCCCCGAGCAGCATTGTCAAGTTGGCCTATGTCCGCATGTAGATCATGGAGGTAGATTGCCCCTGCTGATGGGAGAACCCCCCGTGTCAGTGTAGGTAGTGTCTACACTGGAGCGTTTTAGTTGTAGACAAACCCTCAGTGTCTTGGAACTTGTTATTTTTAAATCATTATTTTAATTAATTATGACGTGTCATCGATCCAAGCCAATGCTGGGCTGTTAGTCGGGGGGAAGATGAACGTTACACATCACTGGGACCGTG